AAGGCCCAGCCCCTACAACCTGCCCCAGGACACACCTGCAGCCCAGCGAGGCTCTGCGTTGTCCCCAGGCACACTGCTGTAGGGCACAGCCCTGTGCTCATCGAGGTTCCTGCAACACCGTGTGGGAGCCGTGGCCATCCAAAAAGCGCAGCACCTGCCCGAAGAGACGCATCCAGGACATTGTGTGTGTGCTCAGCACCACTGCAAGCCATGGGCCCCGCTAGGTTTGGGGCACCAGGACCTCGTGCCCTGCCCGCGCTGCGCACCAGGACCGCCACCACGCACACGTCTCCTTCTGCCAGCACTGCCGAGGGCAGAGGCACGGGGGAAGGTGACATTTTGTAGCCACACCACAGCATCCTTGGGGATGCTCAGCCCTTGCTTTTGTGCTGTTGCCACACAGATGTACCTGCACGAAGCTCAACCATGAGCTTTGCCCAAGAAAGGCCAGGCACGGATCTGTGGGGACACAGTGGGAGCACCGCTGGGTGCATCCCTCCTTCCAGTCCCTGCTGTCCCAGAGCCACCACAGCCCTAGAAAAGCTCAGCCTGGGACATGTGGCACCTCAGCACTGCTCACACACCATCCCAGGCCAGCAGCCAGCTAAAAAGCTACAGCAGGAGATGTAAAGAATGACCATGGCACAGGGAAGACCATAAACTGCCATCCTCCCGCATCCCCTTTTGCTCCACAATTCTCCAGGCTCACCTCCACCTGTTCGGGGGCACTGGAAGTTGTGCTGGGACTTGAGGCTTCCTACACCCTGAAAAAAAGCCTGACAAGCAGGAAAAAAAAAAAAAAAAAAATATATATATATATATATCCTGCTTTTGGTAAGAGTTTGGACAAGAGGTAGATCCCATGGGCAGCTGAAAATCACCCACATCTTCCAGCACAGCCCTGCTTTAACCAGGATGAAAACGGGACACCAAAAAAAAAAAAACCTTGTTAAAAAAAAAAAAAAAAAAAAAAAAGGTGTGTGGGGGGAAAATGGAGGTGCTAGCAAGCTTTTTCTTTGTATATCAACCAGGAAAACCCCCAAACTCCACACTTTTGGGACTTCACGCACAAACAAACAAGAACGTTCAAGAGGAAACTCTAATTTTGTTTGGAAATGTCATTTCCAAATTGCACATGAGAAATCATGCTTCGGCCCAGCCCTGCTGACAGGCAAATATTTATCCCCACAAAATTTCCACATAAACCCGTCCCTGTTGTCAGTAGGTCTGGACGCCGGCAGCAGAACGGCCACGGGACGGGAGGAGGCGGCGCAGGGACACGCAGCCCTGCCCGGCGGGGTCACGGCACAGTCCTGCAAACGCCACCCACCTCCTCGAGCCCTGCTTTGAGGCAAGATTCAGACTTTTCTGACACATTCATAGCGAGTATCTAATGTTTTTTCAGAACTCCTGGTACCGTTTTTTCCGAGGCATTAAATGCAGGGCCCTGCTCCTGAGCCCCACAGCACTCCATCATCCAGCCCCACAGCTCTCCTTCTGTCGGGATCCCGCCGACAAACATTTCTCAGTCTATTTGGAGGAGTTGTTCCTTTGCTCTGTGTTTGGATACTTACAAAGCCATTACCATCTCTCGCACGCACATCCATCATCAAGGCTTCAAACTCCAGAAAAGTCCCCCCAAAAAAACGATTTTCCACTCACCATGCAGCCTGCCAGGCTCTGTTCTTCCACTCTGCCTCCCTCCATCCATCGAAATACATTTCAGCAAGTTCCGAGGCCAACAAAAGAAACAGATGGCAGCCTGGAGAGGTGGTGATTTTTTTTCTGGAGGGGTGGGGAGTGTGGCGAGGGATGCAGCAAAGAGCTGGCCTCCTCCTGGCTGTTTGGAAAAGCCAAGCTGGGGCTGCAGGCACCAGTGCCCCTTTGGAACAAGATGCCCAGACCCCATTCTGCAAAGCCCTCGAGCCTCAGAGAGCTGGGGGGGAGCAGAGAGACGGAGCTCTGCACTGACCCCCACCTCTGCAAGCCTCTTCCTGTGCCCCCAGCACTGCCCTGAGCCCACACTCACCGTTAGCCCCCATTTTCCAAGGGCCCTGCTCACCAGCAGAGCCCCGCATCGCACTGATGGCTCCTGGCAGGGACCACAAGCTCCCCAAAATCACCCACAGAGCAGCTGCAGGTGTGAAATGCCAAATTTGCTGCGGCCACACAGGGTGAGGGGGATGCAGACAGTCAACCGTGCCCCAGCCCAGGGCACAGCACCCCTGGAGCAGGCACCAAGCATCCGTGTGTCTCGCCACAGCCGTCAGCGGGTCAGACACACGGGGAGGATTGATGAAGGGACGCGGCCAGATGGAGACAAACGGCCTTGAGGAGTGAACGATCTCTCCCTTACAAGGGGAACAGCAATTAATTGATGAATTGGGTGGGTTGGGTTGCCAAGCGGCTTCGATGCTCTTTGGTTTTTTTTGTTTGTTTTTTTTTTTTTTTTAGCATGTGCTGGTGAGCGATTGCACAGCTGTTGGAGGGGGAGAAAGAGCCCACAGAGCCAGAGTGATGCTCCGTGCTGGAGGCAGCCAGCAGCTCACAACAGGACCAGGCTGCCCATCCACCAGGCTGCTGCCTGCACGACACAGGGGCCTCGTCCCCACCGTGTCACCCACGGGGGCCTGGAGCCCTGTCCCACACCGCAGGAACAGGCAGAAGCCCTGTCCCATACCCATGGCGCAGCACAGAAACAGAGCATCTTCTTTCACCCCTTGTATATTTTGGTAGGACCTACAGAAAGTCACAGAGAGCAGCAGGGAGGCAGGGTGGTGGCTCTGGGGATGTGGGACGGGACCTGCCTGGTGGTTCAGCCCTGGCTCGCTGAGCTCAGACCCGCAGACACGGCTCCCCCGCGCTCCCAGCATTACAGGTGCTTGGAGGGTTTTCAAGACACGCAGCAATTTCCTGCCTGAAACAGTTGACAAATCTGCACAGAAACTGGAGAAGGCCTCGTGTTTCAGAGAGCCGACTGCTCAGGGCTCCTCTCCAACACACTGCTTTGCCCCAAACAGAAGGGGAAGAGGTTGGGTTAAGCACTCCTCTCTTTCCTCTAGCCATGTGGCTCTACCTTCAGGACAGATGCTGCATCCACCCACGAGGTCTGCAACAAGCTCGTGCAGCAGCCACGTGCCCAGGAGACACCCCCAGCCCGGTGGGGGTCCCATCCCCATCCCACCAGTGTTCCCAGTCCCCACTGCCCTGCACCGCCCCAGGGGTCCCAAAGCAAGAGGTGTTATTGTATGCAGACGGCCATTTTGTGGTGGCTTGCCCAAAACCATCCTCTCCCCATCCAAATGCCACAACTGTGGCCAGCAGTGGCCACAGTCCACAGTGGCCAGCACCGCCCCGCACACCATCAGGACCCATCATCTGCTCCTTCTTCAGTTCCTGCCTGTGCAAGGGAAAGCTCCCAGCCCCTGGGAGACACCCAAGGCCAACCGATGCACAGACAACAGAGCAACAAACCCATGAACACAGCACAAAAGCCTATCTTCCAACCATCCCCAAGCACACCACGGACAAGTAATGCATGATTTGCACCCTTGGTGTAAGCAGCACTGGTCCCAGTAGGGTCTGCAGCCAGGCACAGAAACCCCCCGGGAGCACAGAGCTGGGGTGACCCTGCACGGGGCCACACGCTCAGCCCCAAAGATTTGCCACCGAGCAGCTCCTCCAGCAATGAGACAACCATGGAAAAAGTCAAAAATAGTTAATTCAGCCCACAGCTGAGATCTTCGTAGAAAACACAAGGATCAAGAGGAAAATAAAAAGAGAAAAGCCTTACCTTGTATCGGCCTCAGCCCACAGAGACCTTGTAGTGACCACCCCTGGGCTCAGCACCTGCAGGCAATCTTCATCCAGAAAGGCTCGTGGAGGGGATTTTACCCCTCACAGGGCTGACAGACAGCTGCTTTGGGGCGGAACTTGGTAAATATTGCACTGCAGAGACCCGGTATTACTGATCTGGGGAAAAGGCTGAGGCCTGGGAGGGGCAGAGGGGACAAAGAGTAGTTGTCTCCAAGAGAGGCCTCAGGGGATTTGAAGAGGAAGGATGCTACAAATTGACACAGCAGTGAATTCGCAGCATCCTTCCTCCTCAAATTCCCTCTGTATCAGCTGTCCTTGCAAATTTTCCACAGCCTGCAAGATGCACCCAGCACCAACACCTCCCGGCCACCAGCACCCCACGCAGGACCACGACCTGGCACAGGGCAGTGCCACCACGGGCCCTGACACATGGCACAAAGCTCACACCAAGGAGGTGACCCGTGGTGTCTGCAAACAGGGGGGACACCCAGGGTGCAGGTACCAGCTCTAGGGGAGGCAACAAATCCCTGGAGGCTGTGGTGACACCCCTACACGGCCCAACACAGCTCTGGGAATTTTTTTGATGAGCTGGCCTGACATCCCCTTGCTCCGTGACCTTTCTTCCCGCAGAGAAATCCCAGCCCCGAGCGGCTGAGTCAGCTGTAAATGTGTAAATCCCCAGCATTGATCAGGCTGTGGACATGGAGCTGCGGAAGGGGAAGCAGGCTGCTCGAGGCTCGGCACGGAGGGAAGGCGCCGTGAGCCACAGCAGCACCGAAGCGCACACAGACTCAGGGTGCAGAAACCACCCAGGAGGTCCCCAAAAGCACCACAGATTGAGGTGAATCACGGAAACAAGCGAATTAGGGAAAGACACCTTTTGCTAATTAAATCCAAATGCAAAGCCAGCAGTCCCCTCTCTTCCCTACAGAGCAAACTTTGGACCACGCAGCCCCCAGGAGCTGCAGATGCCCAGCACAATGCTGCTGGTGGGGTGAGGGCCAAGCCAGCCCCCAGCAGCTCCCAACAAGGCAGCAATGCCACCTTCCCTTCATCCATCCTCATCAGTGCTCATCATTGCCCCCACCTGCTCCCTCGTGCCCCCTCTGTGCTCGCCCCTCTCTCGTTTCCTTCCCTTCCTCTGCTCTGCATTGAAAAACCCTCCCTGCGGCGGGCCACAACAATGTAATTCACCCCAGTAAGAAAAAAAAAAACAACACAGCCCTTTTTCAGCCTAGCTGCTTCTGGTTCCCCAAGGGGTGAGGCGTGACCTTAGCTAAAGGACTTTCCTGCTGGGGTAGGAGGGTTTCGGTGAGGATCAGCCCCGTAAGTGCTGCTGTGGTGGTGCTGTGGGGTACAGCAGGGCTGGCCGGGTGCGTGGGGAGGGCTCGCGGAGTGCCCTCATCCCCCCGTGGCTCCCCATCTGCTGACTTTCTGCCCCCCCTCCCATTTCCTCCCCAGAAGCTGGCCGTGCACGAGCCCACAAGGCGCAGATTTCTCCGATTAAGCAACGCTGGGCGTCCTCTCCCCTTTCATTTTCAGCTGCCTCTTCCTCCCAGGCCCCAGAACCTGCCTCAAGCATCCGGCACCGGCCGTGCCCCCGCCATGGAGCCGAGCGCACGGGAGCCCCTGGTGAGGAAGCCGAGCTCCTCGTACCGAACCTTCCCCGAGGGCGTCAGCAAGAGGCTGGACAAGGAGTACCTGCGGTGAGGGCCGGGGCCGTGGGGTGGCCGTGTGCCCCATTTTGGGGCTGGGGAGCGGGTGGGAGAGCTGCTGCCCACCGCTGCTGCTCCCTGCGTGTGTTTTGAGGGGGTCTCATCGTGCCCAGGGTTCCCGGTGCTGTGTGTGCCTGCCTGGGAGAGCTTTGGGGTGTCTGACACTTGTAGGACATGGGGTCCTACTGTCGGGTGGGGGGCCCTGAGAGAAGCCCCTGTTGTTCTGCTGTGAGCTTCTGCTTTTCTCGGTTTGTTTCTTGGCTGACAACCACCCAGCCACCTGGAAAGCATCGGTGGCACCCACGGAGCTGGGTCCTGCTCTCACCCACCCCGGGGGCCATACAGCCCTGGCACGATGGGCAGACACAGCACGGCAGAAGCGGCTGCTCCTCAGCTCAGAAAAACCCCACCAGCCAGGGCCTTTCCCCAGGAAAACCCCTCGGTGGCTGGCCGGGAGCCTCGGCAAAGGGCAGGGCTGGGCTGCACGGGGGAAAAGCCACAAAAAAGGGTGAGATAAACTTCCCATCGGGTGCCGTGGTGGTGTCCAACACATCCTCCTTGCTCTGTCCCCTTCAGAAGCCTCCACAACAAGCGGCTCTACCTGGCCGTGTTTGCCGCCGTCCTCGGGAATTTCAGCTTCGGCTTCGCCCTGGTTTACACCTCGCCCGTCATCCCCGCCCTGGAGGCTCACCCCAACCCCGCGCTGAGGCTGGACCGGCACAAAGCCTCCTGGTTCGGGGTGAGGAGCGGGCTTGTCCCTGCTTGGGGGGGTGCAGGCAGGGACAACGAGGACCCACTGAAGCCTCCCCTCTCTCTCTCTCCGTGTCCCCGCAGTCGGTGTTCACGCTGGGGGCGGCAGCGGGGGGGCTCAGTGCCATGCTCCTCAACGACCGCCTGGGCCGCAAGCTGAGCATCATGTTCTCGGCGGTGCCCTCCGCCGTGGGGTACGCGCTGCTGGCCGGCGCCCAGGGCATCGAGATGCTGCTGCTGGGCCGCGTGCTGACGGGCTACGCCGGCGGTGTGACATCCGCATCCATCCCGGTAATATGCCCCAGGAGGGAGTTTGGCAAAGGGGGTGGAAGGATGGGAGGTGAGGAGGGTGCAGGAGTTGATCCCGGGGTCTTCTGCTCCTTTGGAGGCATCAGCAGAGCTTCAGGGCTGGATATAGGGGATGGGGAGGATGCACCACGTTAGCGGCTCCCTGCACGGCCAGCCTGAGCTGCTCCCGTGCTGCCAGGCTTTTTCTGTCCACAGAAAGTGGAAGGCAGGTCCTTGTTCCCTGCCCTGTTCCTCCCCGGCACCAGTTTCCTCCATTTATCAAATAAAACAGAGGAAGGGGAGGATTGAGCAACCCTCGGGCACATCTTTACAGTAACTGGAGTCTGGGCGTGCGCTTCTCCCACACCAGGCGAGGATGGGTGCGGGAGGGATGGGTGCCACAAGGCTCTCCTTACCCTGCTGCAGGACCGGCTCCTGCAGATTTCCCCTCCCAAAGGACAGGTTTCCCGGCACTTTGGGTTTTCCCTGGCTGTGAGGCACGGCAGGATGGGTTTTGTTGGTGCTGGCTGCATGCTGCAGCTCCGCTGTGTGCGCTGTCCTGCTGCAGGTCTACATCTCGGAGATCTCCCACCCCGGTGTCCGAGGCATGCTGGGCGCTTGTCCTCAGATCATGGCAGTGCTGGGCTCCCTCATCCTCTACGCGCTGGGCAAGTATCTCAGTGTTCAACAGGCAGGAAAGCCCCTAGGGAAGGCGGGTTTATTTTAAACAACTTTCCTAGTGGGCTGATGGATCCGTTCCCCTTGCAGCCACCACCACGGGTGTGCAAGGGGCTCCGCTGAGGCTTTGTCAGGGCTGAAGAGCAGCACACCATGAACTCTTGTTCTGGTTTTTCCCTCTCTGGCTTTGTTAAATCTCTGCTGTTGGGGTGCCCACAGGAGGCTTCTCCCTGTGCTTTCCCTTCCTAACCTGGCTGCCTCCCGCAGGGCTGCTCCTGGACTGGCGCTGGCTGGCCGTGGCAGGGGAGGTGCCGGTGCTGGCCATGATCCTCCTGCTCTGCTTCATGCCCAACTCGCCCCGGTTCCTGCTCTCCCGGGGGAAGGAGGACGAGGCCCTGCAGTCACTGTGCTGGCTGCGGGGCAAGGACACGGACTATGCCCGGGAGTATGAGCAGATTAAGGACAGCGTGAGGAAGCAGGTGAGGAGAGGACGAGGCTCACCTCCAGCACGTGGGAGATGTGATATGAAAATGGTCAAGTCCAGCATCCTCTGGGCATCTCCTGAGCTGCTTCCTGGGTGCTGTGGTTGTGCCCAAGGCACTAATATCTTGTCTTTCTGACTTTGTCCCCCTCCAGAGCCGGCGGGTTTCCTGTGCTGAGATCAAGGACCCCTTCATCTACAAGCCCATCCTGATTGCCGTGGTCATGAGGTTCCTGCAGCAGCTCTCTGGGGTCACCTGTGTCCTCGTGTACCTGCAGCCAATATTCAAGAAAACGGCTGTCATCCTGGTGAGCTCGGGTTGCCCTGTCGTCGGGGATGTCTGCCCTGTCCTGGATCTCCCCTCTCAGTTTCCCCACGGCTTTTGCTGTTGCAGAAGCCGGAGTACGATGCGGCTCTTGTCGGCCTGGTGCGTCTGTTCTCGGTGGCGATTGCTGCTGTGTCGATGGATAAAGCTGGCAGGAAGATTCTCCTCTTTGTGTCGGGTAAGTCTCTCTGCCACGATGTGCAAGGGCAATTGTTCTTTAGCTATTTCCAGCAGCTCTGCAAACGTGCAGGAGTGGGAATTTAACCACACGGGGCTCAGGAGGGGTCTCTGGTGGTGGCTCAGCTCCTGAGCAGAGGTGACTCCAGGGGCTTGGACGAAGGCACAGAAGGAATCGCTCACCCCTCAGTCCCATGGTGCTGTTGCATCTCTCCACAGCCGGTGTCATGCTGGCCTCCAACCTGACCATGGGGCTCTACATCCACTTCGTGCCCTCTTCTCAGAACGGCACCATCACTAACAGGACCCTGGCGAGCTCTGCCAGCCCTCCTGCGGAGTCCATCAACTACATCACCCTCATCCCCCTCCTGGCTACCATGTTCTTCATAATGGGTAGGTGCAGGGGGTGAGAGCCCAGGACCACAGCACGGAGCAGGAAACCAGCCTGGGGGATATTTCTCCTCTGAGACAGGGTGATATGGGGTGAGGAGTTTGGGATTGGGATCGGGAGGTTGAGAAAAATAGCATTTGAAGTCGCTTTTCAGGACTGAGAGTGTATGTGGGGAAAAAATAATGACCGACTGACAGGGGAGCAGGGCAGGATTGTGTAGGGCTTTCCTGTGCTCCCCTAAGGGGCTCTGAAGCCTCAGCAGCCTCACCTCACCCTCTGCTCCCCTGCAGGCTATGCCATGGGCTGGGGCCCCATCACCTGGCTGCTGATGTCGGAGATCCTCCCTCTGAAAGCCCGGGGGGTGGCCTCAGGCCTCTGCGTGGTTGTGAGCTGGCTGACAGCCTTCACCCTCACCCAGTTCTTCCTCCGGGTCGTGGTGGGTACTGTCCCGGGGGGTGTCTCAGAGCTCTTCCTCAGAGCCCCCCAAGCTGGCTCACATTTGCTTTCTGCCCCGCTTCTCAGGAAGCCTTTGGCCTCGAGGTGCCGTTCCTGTTCTTCGCTGTCATCTGCGCTGGGAACGTCTTCTTTACGGGCTGCTGCGTCCCAGAAACCAAAGGCAGGTCCCTGGAACAGATCGAGGCCTTCTTCAGGACAGGGAGAAGGTCGTTCATGAGGTAGGAGCTGGAGGTGGAAGCTGGAGGTCTCCGAAGATGGTGCTTCCCCCCCGCCCAGGGAAGAGGAACAGGCAGCAGTGACTGTATTGCTTTGGACATGGATATTGCCAGCCCAAACTCTACCTTCTCTTCCCAAATCACTCAGCACTACCTGGTGCTCTCGGGGCACCACGTCAGCCCGAGGCATGGGACTGTGTAACCAGTGCCAGGCTGGGACTAAAAGCGTCCTGGAAACTAAAACGTGTGGCTGTGGACAAAAAACCTCGCACGTCCTTAGCGCAGCAGCCACCCAAGCAGCCCCAGAGCCCCCAGGCTCTGGCTGGAGCAGAGTTAACAGCTGTAGCTGTGCTGGCACCCTTTCAGCATGTAGTTGCAAGAATAAAGCAGTTTTGCCTCCAAGTGCACGATGTTGCCTTGCAGAGAGGAAAGCTGCAGGGGGATGGGAGAGGAGAGGCAGGCAGGGGCTGTGGCTGGGGGATCACAGCACCCTGCAGCCTCCCAGGTGGGTCTTGTGTGCTTAAAGACTTCAAAAAAAGGTAGAGCCAGATATTTTTATTTTTTTTTATAAAAAAGCTGCCACGTTTTATTGCTCTAAAAACACACGTTACACTAGGAGCCTAACGAACAAGACCAACTACAGTTCACAAAGAAAATTCAAGACACAACACACAGCATGGGAACAGACAGACATTCAGCTGTAGTGCAAGCGATTCCCTGGAGGAAAGACACAGTAGGTACAGACTACGTTGTAGTGGGGCAGGTCCTTCCCACCCCAGGGTTTTACTCATCCACGTCAAAGGAAGGTGGCTGTGCCCCATCACAGCTGGGTGTGGAGCCTCCACCTCCATCACTGAGATTTCAGCTGCATAGTTAGTAGCAAATTGCTCTCAGCCCTTTCCTGACGTCTTGCAAGATTAAGGTCTTTATTTATGATTTTTTTTAAGAACACAACCCCGGGTAAAGCACAGCTGCAGGAGGTGGTTATGGCTGCGAGGAATGAAGGCCTTGCTGAGTATTGCATCCAACCTAACTCTTCCCAAAGGGGCAGAACAGCACAGGCTGGGCTTGGAGATCATTTGCCTGAGCATTTGCCAGCCTGCTGAAATGCACTTGGCAACCTGAGGGCCTGTGGCTATGCTTGTGTCCTCCTGTTCCTGATACACTTCAGCCTGCTGTGACAAGGATTTGGGGGACAACAGAGCATATTTGACCTGAATCTCAGGAAACACTAAGTGCTATTTAGATCCCCTGCAGCAGAAGGTGCACCTCACCACGGAGAAGATGTGCTTTATCAGAGGATTAATTTAAAGCAGCCTAGGACAGAGGAAGAGAGATGGGCCAAAATCAAAACCACAGAGAAATGTCAGTATTAGACCAAACCTCTGCAGCCGAGACCTGTTTCCAGAAAGATGTCCAGCCCTGGCTGGAATATGACTGTTTCTAAGCATGGCCAGATTACAAGAGCTCTCAAGAGCCTCTGCTTTCCACTGACCTTCAGAAGATCAGGATCTCTGGCAGCCCTGTCCTAGAGCGTTCTCTTTCTCACATGGCTATGTACCAGGTCTTGATATCTTCACTTCAGTGAAACCCTTCCCTGCAGACAGTGGATGTTTTTTTCCTGAGAAAAAAAAAATGACAAAGATGAATTGAGCTTCCCAGGGCTTGGCCTAAGGAGCAAATGCCCGAACCACACTGGAGAAGTATTTTCTGAGTGATCTCCTTTATTCCACAAAGAAAGCGTGAGGGGTTTTGCTACAACATTTAGAGTCTGAGAAATCACGGGGGCTTTTTCCAGAGGTAGAATGGTCTTTTTATTCACTGCACACACAGAAAATCAATTGGTGTTACAAAACCAGCTCCTGTTCAGAGCAGCAAGGTCTGGGTACGCAGCAGAAAGGGAGCTTCTGCCCTTCTCTGCGTGCCCAGGGGAGAACCCCAGGGGAACGGGGAGCTTATACGCACAAGTGCAGTAATTTCTGGGACTGAATGGGACACGGAGGGGTTGCATGTTGTATAAATGCACTTGGGTAAGGGAAGTGCACAGCTCAGACAGTGAATGGTGTAACAGCCCGCTCCCAAGCGCACACTTACTGCTGGTTCCCAGCCGTCTTTCCATACTCGCTGTAGTCAATGCACCACCCGCTCCTGAGGTCTCACATAACATTTTTGCCCCCTTCTCTCCCAAGAGGCCTCCAGAACCTCCTCCATGGAGACCCCTTAGATCAGCCCTCCAGCCTGCACACTGCCAGCTGGCACTGAGCTGATCCTGTAAGATCGCTAGAGCAGGACTTTAACTTCATTATTCTTGCAAAGCTCCTAGCCCCCTGCCTCTAAACACAACTAATAACCACCATGCACTGTGAATGGGCACCTTAACTACTGTGATACTACTACTCTAAAGGTCTTTTCTATCTCCACAAAAATAGCCTCACACCGAGGTGAGACCAGCCACTAACTCAGCACCACCCCGAAAGCCATGGGTGCTGCAGGCCCCGCACGCAGACTTCACCGGACCAGCAGCAGCCGCATCTGGCTTGGGTCCTGCTACATCACAGCCAGCCACTATTCCCTACAGCACCCTCTCCAGACGTGCTCACCCCGATATTGCTGCATCTGTAGAGTCAGCGCTCTCAGAGCACGGCTCCCAGACGCCTCCTGTTCAGGCAGGCACGGAGACGCTGAGCAGAACCAGAGGCGATAAGTGCCGTGGCCACAGGATCCAGCTCAGCTCTTGCAGAAGAGTCCCTGAGGCTCATTTCCAACAAAAGCACACCCACAGCTCGGAGTTGGGCTTTCCATCCTGCTAATGGTGGCAGAGCAATGCAAGTTATTAGCTTGCCTGGTCCAAGCTGGTGGCTGCAATACTCAGCGTGATGGCACTGCTGGCACCCCAGGGACTTCTGCCGCTGGAGCTGATGAGCAGAGGTGAGCCAGGAGGCAGATAAAGCCAGCAAGGGCCCTGCCATTCTCCTGGTTCATCGCTGTGGGTGCAGATCAGACTGCAAGGGTTATCTATTGCTTCTGCTTTGCCTTCCACCTGCGGAACTACTCGCAGAGCAAAGCAGTCGCTACCAAAGACATGCGCATCGCTACGTGGGTCAGTCCTCTACTAAACACTACTTAACTCCCCAACTCCTTGAAATCTACTTGGATGTCCTGCTTGCCAGGCAGGACTCTGCAACGCAGCCACCCCATGAAGGTACTGGGGACAGGAGGTGCAGAGAGGCTATGATGACTGAGGCTTCACTTGGAGGTGTCCTGGGGTGCATCCCCCTGCACCACCCCACTGCCACGGGCTGGGGTCCCTGCGCACGCACGCACAAGGAAAGCCAATGCCCCACATATTGCACGCAGCCACAGGACCAGCCCGGAGCTGGGGGCTGCAAAACGGCAGAGGCTTGATTGAAACAAGCTGCATCTGGGCTGGCGGTGCCTATTCGGCGCCCCAGACAAGCTGGTGTCAGAGCAATTACAGCTCAGAGGCCCTGGGGGAAAAGGGGCTTAGCACGAAGCGGCTGCCCAGCATCCAGCTGCGAGGGGCTGTGTGTGCAAATAAAGCCAGGCCGCATTCCTGCCTGGTGCAAATCTTCACACCTCCCTGAACGCCACGGAAGAAACAAGAAATGCCATTAGCTGGCAGCTTAGCCCCCCGGCCCCCAGGGGCTGCGCTGCTCCTGCTGCAGCGCCCGCATGCACCAGTACCTGGCCACCCTCTCCTGCAGCTTCTGACGATGAACAGCACCCAGCCACCAGCTGCACGACCCCTCTGGCACCCCGGTAATTCAAATGGGACCACAAAGAGTCAGGAGGCAGCAGGAGCCCAGCTCCCAGTGCAGGACGGTGACAAGAGGCTGCCTCTGCTCGCCAGAGCTGTCCCCTGCCTTCACCGAGCACAAACCCTGCGTCCCAGCAGGGAAAAGCAAATCCGGTCACATCGGCATCCATAAGACAAAGGGATCGAAGGGCAGCACACCTTCCAAAAGTCTGAGAAACACGATGCAGGCTGAAATAGGATTTTCCAGTACCCCAGTTACAGCAGCCAGGGCTCTCCCTGGGTCCAGAGAGAGACCCCCAAAATGAGACAATGCTTTCCTTCAAATGACAGGGAACAGAGCGCTCCTTTCTCCTACATCCAGAGAAAACGAGGCCCATCAGAACACATAAATATGTAGAAATAAGTTATTCTCCCTTTTCCTAATTAAAATAAAAAGCAATTGTGTAAAAACAAATAAATTAACCCCCCCCCAGAAGAAACTGTGATGAGAAGCGTGGGACCTGGACCTAGTGAGTAGTTCTGTTCTGCCTGACACGACGCAAACAGAATATGACAGAGCTTGGAATAAAGCAGCAAAACACCCAGGACAATAACCTGCTATCCCCACCAAACTGGTACAGATTTCTCTCTGTTTGCAAAGGAAGGATATGCCACCTCCCCACACAAAACCAGCCCAGGACTGATGCAAAAAAGCATGAGCCCAATGAGAACGACTGTACCAGATAAGCAAAAAGCAGGTCCCACACGCAGAACAGGCTGCAGGAGCACACACGGGAAGGGAGAGATAGCAGAGCACAGTCCTGGGCTCAGGAGAGAAGGATGCTCACAGACATCAGCAACTATTACACCAGGAAAAAAAATAAAAGAACAGTTGGCTCAAGCAATACTATCTTCTTTCAGCTGAGGTAAAGCAAACCTCCCTTTCCCTCCTCCCCAGTAAAAAGGTGAAGCTTGACAAGTACCCTTGTTCAGACTAAGGAATTAATGCGTATAATTCAAGTAAACTGTAGAAACTGCCTGAAGCTGTAACCAGAGGAAGGGGAGACTGTACTTTACAGTTCCCCGGATCTGCCCCAGCATCTCTCGCAGCTTCTCTGCAGCGTGGTTGTTGTCTTCATTTGGGATTTTTGCTGGAAGCCCTTTACTGCGCAGTGATGTCTGATGCCCAGCCTAACTGGACCCATACTAAACCAAGCGTGAGCATCACCAGGTCCTGCTAAATGCTGGCTTAGTATTTTGTGCCTGGGAAGTGCCACACCAGAGCGCATTACTTTGAAACGTGTAACATGAGCAGTGGAGCCAGGCAGCTCCAAGAGCAGTTCCCAGTGAGCGTGTTGCCCACACTCAGTCCCCAGCAAAACAGGGCAGGCTCATTAACCAGGCATCAAAAGAGAGAAAGGCTACGTGTTTAGGCTTGTACAGCAGCACTCAAAGGGCCAGCACCTCTGCAGGGAAAAAAGAAAAAGAACAAAAAGAAGGAAAAAAAAAAAAAAAAGAGGGGACTGTGAGATATTTGGTTCAGTGTTAAACCTCTGAGAGGGCGAGGAGAGAGCCGCCAACGTGCTGAGGTCTGGCTGCTGGTGTGGGAGGAGGGCACAGCCCGCCCCAGCCCCTGAGATTTCCAGTTGCTGCAGTGTCCGGGGAAATAGCGGAGTAACAGAGAAGGGAGAAAGCAGAGGGAAGGGCAGAGTGGGTTTCCGTATCTTCACCAACACCTCAGTGTCCGTGTGAGGTTCCCCTGAGCTCAGGGGCTTCAGAGGGCCTGTCCTTCCAGGGACCCCGTGAGCTTCTCTTCATCCATCTGCTTCTGCTGCTGGTGGATGCGGGCGTAGGAAATGGCATCTCCCCTGCAGAGAGAAGGGACAGCGAGGGGATGTGAGCTGGGAACAGACGGGGTGCAGGACGAGGTGGAGATCCACCTTCCCCTCCCCTCCACCAGCAGGCAGATCTCTTACTTCTTGCCGAGCGCCGACAGGCCGTAAAGCACCCCGGTTGCAAACGCGATGGCATTTCCAAAAAGCGTGGTCAGCGTCAGGCTGAGCATGACGGGGAACACCGCCATCCTGAAAGAGAGAGAGGCAGCCCCGCGCTGGGTTGGGGAACGCAGCACCTGAAACGCCCAGCGCCTGGCCCCGGGGAGCATCCTCACCCGCAGTAGAAAGCAGCTTTCTGCCAGGGCCGCAGCTTGTCCGCCCTCGCAGACACGGCGTTGGCGAACTCGATGAACTGGCAGCAGAAGGGGGCTTCGCACAGGAACAGGACGAAAGCGTTGAGCCTCCAGGCAGAGCACACGAGAGTTAACCCTGCCCCACAGCAAGGGGCAGCCGTGCCCCCGGCCACACCAAAGCAGAAGCACTGCACCCTGCTTCCCTCTCCCCCCTTCTTGGTAATTCCCAATCTCTGGCCCGATTTATTTTGGGTAAGGTTACTGCAGTATTTACCTAAAAACGGGTGGAAAAGGGGGTAATGAGAGAAGAGGAATATAAATGGGGATATAAATAGGATAAAGCCCGTGTCTCCACCTGTCTGACTGAGCAAGAGCTGGCAATTCCCAGCTCTGCCCCTCGCTCCGTGGTGCCAAATGGACACAGGGTACCCTGAGCTGGAAGGGACCCCCAAGGATCACATCTCCAACCCAGCAGAAAAAAAAAAAAAAAGAACAGAAACTCCACTCACATCATCCACACGCCAGCTGCTATGTTCAGGGGGTTGATGGTGACGCAGTTCCACAGACCAGCAAAGGCACAGGCTGGAAGGCAAGAAGAGGCTTTCAGTGACCACAACGACCCACGGGACAGCAGGGCCTGAGGCTGGCTTCTCCCAGCTCCAGCCTGCCCTGCAGCCACATCAGCAGGGTTGTGCCTTCCCGTGCTTTGGCTCATGCGTCTGGAGACACCGCTGGAGCTGCCCAGAAGGGTCCTTGCCTTGGCTGGCACCTCCGGGCACCCATCTCAGAGCAGCACGCGGAAAAGTTCAGCAAAAAAAATTACTTGCAGTCCTTTCAGGCTGAAAATAAAGGAGAGGTGAACCTGGTCACACACTGCTGGTTCTGTGCAACTTTTAGAGAGGGGCAGAAAAGAGCCAGTTTGGGGTCTCTGCTAATACAAATGGAAGTGGATGCTGGCTAAAGCAATGCCCAGAATAGCTCCTGCTCTCCTGAATTCGTAATGCCAGGAGAGGAAGCCGCCAGCAGCCAGGCTGCAGGCACCCACCTCCTGCCTCATTAAACTTGCAAAGCGCTCCCTGCACTCGATACGGCCCCTTTCCCCCCGCTGACACCGAGAAGCTGCTGCTCACCTGGGAACCCGAGCCCACAGGAGGGAGGGAGGCAAGGCAGGGGCTGCGTCCCCAGCAAATAACAACACAGTGCAAAACTGCAGCTGAAATTATACAGCCCTGAAAGGCTGGCCTGGGATGTGCAGCTGAATAATGAAGAGAGCGGTGTGAATCTGAGACGACCAGCCTGCGTCTAGGTATTTTTGAAGTCTGCTCATGTTTTGCTAAGGGAATCCCTGAGCAGGGCTGCTGTGAGCAGTCCTGACCTTCAAAAGCTTGGCACGCGCTTGCAAGGTTTCCTTCAGGCATCCACTGCTGAATCCTCAAGGTTTCCTCAAGAATATTTATTTACCCTTATTTACCAGACTGGGAAACAGAGCTGGAGGCCTATGATAGGACCAGGTTAAGGTCACCCCACGAGCAAGCGGCCCCCTGATTTTGGAAAACAACCAAACAAGTTTATTTTTAGAGGCTTCCTGGGACTGCCCCGTAGGACCCAAAATCTCCTGGAGATTCCTGTAAGAACAAGATCCCAACAGAGTAGAAATGCCAGAGGACACGCTACCAGCCACACTCTGAGGGCACTTCTCATCCTCCCATCACAAAGGGATCGGTGTCCCTGCACTGTAGGGGGAAACTGAGGCACTGGGGTGGGATGATGCAGACATGCAAACAGACGGAGAGCTGGCAAAGCACCAGCGAGCAGGATTGCAAGGAGCAGCAGGCAGGGAGGTTTCTAACTCTGCGACCAACAACGACCAACAAACCCTTGGATGCTCATGGAAGAGGAGCTCAGGGGACTTGTGACACTTGTGACAAGTCCACACCGTGGACTTGTAACACTTTGTCTTCACAGAAAAGCACACTTCTGAAAATAACCTTAAATGACTTTCAAGCATTTTATTATTAGCAAACAGCAAAACCCAGCAGCATTTTGACTACCACTGAAAGGGCCAGGGCAGAGCCCTGTTAACAGCACATTGAAGCAGAGCAGGGCATGAGGTTCAGAGAGCTACAAAATCAGCCTCAACCACGGAGCAAACCTAGGGAGGCAGAATGTTATTTCCCAAGCAGGACTTTGGCTCTACTATTTTTTAATTTCTTTTTACTCTAATCAATCAGGGTTTCTCTTTGTCAGGGCTTTGGTTCAGTTTTTCAAGTTTTGTTTTCATCCCCAAACAACCCTTGAGCACTAAACGTCCTCGCAGGCACCTCAGCGAAGCGATCGCCCTGATTGCCAGCGGACTAATGACCCAGCAGGCCTGAGCTGAGCGAGTCCCTACGTCAGCACGAGCACCAACCAGCAGGAAAGGAGTCAAAGGTTTACAGTCGCAGGAGCACTGCACTCAGTGGTGGTTGCCAACAGCCACAGATAACGATTCGGTGACCTTCGGTCTCCTTTCCAGTGCAATGCATCCTGCGGCAGCCTGGCACACACTGGTCCCGCCGGGGCAGGATCGGCTCCTGCCTCTGTAGCCAAAAGGGACACGGAGCCAACCCAGAGACTTCTTTTTGCACAACAAAGCCTCACAAGAGGCTTCAAATTCAGATAATGCTCGATGGCACGTAAGCTATGGAAGACAGTCCTGCCATTTGTTTAACTGCTGTCCCGTCCTGAGGCCCTGGGGAAGCACAAATAACTGGGAGCTAAAACGAGGAAGTAAAAAAAGAAAAAAACACCACCCCCCACAAAGCCTCTATTCATTCCAAGCAGCTGGTCACTGTCCTCAATGCAACCCTATTTTTGCCCCTAGAGCATTTTACAAAAGCCTCAGACTCCCATCGTCCTTTTACAAATAGGAACACAAGGGGGAGAGGGGACTTGGCTGAGGTCACCAAGCCAGGCTGTGCAGGAGCCAGAAACAGATCCCGAACCTTGTTTGTCTCATTCATGCTCCACCTCCCAGCCCTTCTGACTCGATCTTGCTGGTTACAGGTGTTGGCACACAGTAGGTGTCACCTCCCAGTCTCACCTCCGCTGACAAAGTTTCTCATCCATCCTACAGGGAATTTTTCCTCCTGCACAAAGTAACCCAGCCCCGTAGCAGCCACAACCCAGATGCCCAAAAACCTTATAAACGAGTTCTGTTCCTTCACAGAGAGCTCTGAAATCAGAGGCACGCTCCAGCCTTGCCTAGTTATCAGTCAGCCCTTGTCCTAACAGGCCGCCTACAACGAGGCAATGTTGAACAAGGGGCATTTTGAGGATGCCTGTCACCAGCACAGAGGATTGCCTCCTTCCATGGCCTCCCGTGTCCCTGCTCCTAACAGCAGCCTGTGACCCCAGCTGCCACGGTCTCTGCCCCACAGACCCAAAAATTGAGACTGCCCGGGCCACAGAGCAAGCTGGCTGACTCCCCAAATCATCGGCAATCCTCCTGCCTATTTCTTCTCCCAGATTCGCCCAAACACATAAAACTCTCAGCTTTCCTTTAAAAACAAGTCCTGAGTTCTCCAAGCTGTGAAGAAAAGTTTGAGAAAAGAATCCAAGTACAACTCGGCTGCTTTGAAACCTAAAGATAGAGGGGGAAAATCTGCTTTCAAAGACTCGCGCTGCTTTCAAGCCCCTCACGAGCTGCTCTGGCACACAGCGAGCTGCTCAGAGCCACCTCCAGCTCTGTACCCTCCATCTGCACCCCCCAAGCTGTGTGTGGACCAAAGCCACATGAAGGATGCCGAGGCCACAGCTTGTGGGACCAACATCACCCCATGGCCCCCTCATGGGAGCTACCAGGGGACATGGCCCAGCCGGCCTCCAGGCCTCCTGCCCCCACCAGAGGCCTCCGGTAGGTGCTGCCCCATAAGAGCAGCCTTGTGGAATCTTTTCACACCTCTGGAATTTCGGCAACTAAGATGTAAAAGCAAGAGGAGCGTTATGTTTTATCAGCATAGCCAAAAAGGGCTTTAAAGGGGCTGCCCAGTGATGCCACAGCGCACGAGGTGGGCTGCAAAAACACCACTGCCTTGTACAGTCGAGTCCTGAGGCAGGAACAGGCATGGAAAAGGGGCAGGAAGAGAGAGGGATCAGACAAAACACTACAGCAGAGGGAATAAATCAGGGCTGACTGTACTGGCTGAGAAACGCTCTTGTTTTACTAGAAGTCGTGGACCTGAAGCAGAAGGAATTCTCCATCCTGTGCTCTGCAGGAGATCAGACTAAGCGGTCATAACAGTCCCTCCTGCTTTTAAGAGCTATTAATCTCCTCACAGAATGTAGCAAAACAGCACTACGGGACAAGCTGATTTCTGGCAAAGGTGCAAAGACTCTTTCCCTGGGAAAATTTTTTTCGGCAGCAGGTAATTCACAGCGCAGCCAACTCACTTCGCTGTATGCTGTCTCCCATCTTCTGCGCGTCCAAGACTAAACCCCTTAAAAAACACACACCACTAACCAAGGTCATTACTCGCCTCCAGAAAACACAGCCAGGCCCTCCGTGATAAACGGCAGGAGTAAGAGGAAACATGCTGTGACGTCCAGAACAGGAAAGTTGCAGGAACACAAACACCTGACAGTCAGATGGGATGGAAGAAGCAAACCCCAGGGCCCCCGTTCACACCCTGCACCTGACCCCGCTGAGCGCCCTGAGCCCGGTGCTCGCAATAAAACCATTGTCTCGTTTATCTGCCCACGGCCCTCCTGCAGGACCGAGGGCTTGGCTTCTCCCACCACTCCCAGAGATGGGAGATGAGCTTTATCCAAGAAGAAACTCGAGGATTTTCAGATCCCCCCCGAGACATCCCTTCTCCCAGGTACCAAAGTTCAGCGAGTTCAGCAACCACGCAGCGCGCCTCTCACGTGCAAGCTAACATCACCCCGCTTCAGGCTCGTCGTGGCTCTTCCTCCTGCCCAAAATGCAGCCAACTACACGTGTGGAAGAGACGCAAACCTGCAACCCCAAACGATTGTCCCACGGCCCGCCTCCCCGTACACAAACACGGCCCAGGGACGGGCAGGCACGACCCCTGCCCCGCGCTTTTGCATGCACGAGCAGAGCCGGTGGGGAACCCTTGGCTGCGAGGGAGGGGATACTTACACACGCCCCCGATGACCCCGGCAATCCTGCAGAGCCACCTGTACCACCAGGTCATGCCATCATCGGCGGAGGGAGCCGCTGGCTCAGGGGCTGCTGCTTGGAACTGGTCATCCTGAGAACTCATGGCCCCCCCAGCTCCCGGGGGGTCAGGGGGCAGCTCCCCGCTCCCCACCTGCGCCCCAGCAGTGCGGGATGCCCCTCCAGGTGACACTCCCCCCACCTATTCCAGCAAGGCCAGGCAGGCTGACAGCCCCTAAACCCAGCCCTGCTGCTGGTGGGCCTCTCCCCGCACCCCCATGCACGGCCGGGCCCCCCAGGGCTGACAATGGAGGGGCTCTGCCTGCAGCAGCGATGCCAGCGGCCGGGGGGGAGCAGCCTCCACGTCTCCCTGCCTATTGCATTGTGGGTCCCCTCCTCCAGCAGGGAGGGCTTTGATGTCACGCTCATTAAAAAGCCAGTGGGCAGAGCCGTGTGTGCATATTCATAGCCAGCAGCAGGCAGGGAGGCGCGCGGCCCATGGCGGGCCCAAGGGTGCACAGGGCGGTTGGTTCAGCTCGGGGCGAGGGCAAGCGTCTGCCCCAAAAGGCACCCGTCATCTCACGGGGACTGGGACTGAGCCCCAGCCTCTCCTCCCAGCTGAGCTGTGGCTGCACAAACCTAAACATTCGGAAGTTTTGGCCGGGCTGATAACACAGCTTCTTGCCTCAAATCGCAGGGGGAGGCGTTGTGGGTGCCTCAGCTCTTAAAGCCATCTGTGTCCGTAGCCCCCGTGCCGCAGTTGTACCAACAACACAGGCGCACAGCAAGCTGCACTCTGCTCTTACCTCCATCTTCACTCCCTTTACCTCTCTGAGGACTGAGCTTTTGCTTCAGCAGAAGGTGAAGCGATTTGTCTAACGTTACACAGAAAAGTCAGAGGTAAAGCAGGAGCCCTGGGTCCTGCTTCCCCTAACCACTAGCTGCTGTTATCCCTGTGTGTGCTAAGAGGAAAGAGAAACATGAATTTTTGAATGGATGTGAGTTGAATGTGGGAATTGTTACAAAAATTGTGCCCTTAAGGAAAAGCAAACCACTCCCCTTAATCTGAATGGAATCAGGTTTTTAGAAAACGGGAGTTGAAGTAGGACTTTGCATATCAGAGATGTCCCAGCTGGCAACCTGTTGGTATCCGAACAACTGCTACAGTGAAATGCCCGTAATTCCCTTAAATTATAAAGGCAGCAGCTGCACATTTTGCAAATGAACGTGGAGCATACGGTCAGTAATCAGAGCCCATCTCTGCAGACCAGAGACTCTGCATAGCTGATCTGGAACAAAATATAGCAGTGAGACTTGGGATCCAGAGCTGAGTGGGAAGACAGATCCCATCTGCTAAAAGGTTACAAAAAAGAATTAAGGATTATTTTTTTTCATTACTGTTACGTCTCCTGTTAGACAGGAAATGAAGGCCCAGTGCCTGTATCACCCACGCACTGCAGTGGGACAGCTGATATATTCAGTTCCTCAAGGATCTTGCTTCAAGAATCTACTTTCTAGCTTTTCCAGGAACGGAACGTAAATCTGAAGGCTGGCAAGCAAAAAAATCCAGGCGGAACCAGCAAAAACCATTACTAAGAAGACTGAAGAAAATAAGATTTTGTGGTTGCAAAAAGATGTCAGGGAATTCAGCTGAAAGAAAGCAGAGGTAGGATTAGAACTGCCCAGGCAGAACCATTTATTGTATCCAGCGTGAAGGGTAGGGGCAGCCGTGTCCAGCCAGGCTTCAGGTCTGGAAAAGATCCCTTCAGCAGAACACTGAGATTTTGATGAGGACTTGTACCGAAGTAGGAGAACCCTTCAAAATGTTCAAGACATTAAATAAACCAAACAAAACACACAACAGCTTTAGAAATATATTTAGGACAAACTTGAGTGAATATTTGTCACTGTTCTAAAATACCTCTTCCTGCTACAACTTGTATCACGCAGTCTCAACAATCTCTCAGTGCACAGTTCCTCTGAGATGCAGATACAAGCAGATTATTAGCACAGCTACTATTATCTGAGTAAATATCCCTTGGCACCAAACCCATCGTTAAGAGACAGAATTCTTTTATTTTTCCCATAGAAAAGAAGTACTGGTATCACCATCAGACATGCAAGTAGCAGAACCGCAGCTGTGCTGGCTGGGGAGGGACCTCAGGAAGTCATTTATTCCTCCCTACAAAACCAACTGTCACTGGTGCTTGACCAAGCCAGCCACACATTGGTCTAGCAAGGTCCTGAAGACATTTGAGGATGGCAATTCCATCAGCATTGCACCTGACCTGTCCTGGTGTTGTGCTACCCTTCTGGGCCAGGAAACCATCTTGCCCTCATACGTTTGTCTAGCCCTCTTGTTCTTTCAGCCCGTTATCTTACACATCTTTGCTTTCTTTATAATTTCCCAGAATTTCAATGGGCCTCATTTTAACAGGCTTTTCCACTGCAGGGGAGTGAATTTAATTGTTAAACCATAATCTTAGCTACTTGTGCTATACAGAGGTTTCTAAGGGGACACTGAGAAACAAAATGATCATCCTAAAAGGTCACAGCATGTAACAGAAGCAGGAGCCTGAGACCTCAATGTCCAAGAAGCTAATTGCAGATGCTGCATTAATACCAATCAACACAGATAGGTCTGTGTGAGGACTATTTGCTAAATATTTGGTAGTTACATGTCGTTTGCATAAACTCTGCATGTGTTAGCTGAGATCCCAGCAGAGTCAGTAGATATTACTGTTCGTACTCAGTAGATGGGGAAGCAATTGCAAAAAGGCTAAATGACTTGTGTGACCTCGAGCAGTGAGCAGGCAGGAGTGACTAACTCAAGCACAGCCTTTCTTCCCCTTTTATTTGGGTTCAGCAGCATGATATTCAGCCCAGAAACTGGTTCGGTGTTCCTTAATGTTTTCATGAAATTCAATTTCAGCTTGGCTTCCTGTTGATTGCCAGAAGAATTGCTGTCTCCCATGAAACACCATCGTCTTCATGGTGCTTACGTCACGAATCTGAATAAAGACAGACCAAACCATTATATTATAGCAGCCTACAAGTCAAGCACCCACAAAATACTGGGGTCACTCAGGGGAAAAGCTATCCTATATAAATGTTAGAAGAAATATGATAGAGGTAAGTAGTGCTCACTCACATCTACATTTACATAACAGTCTGACCTCTCAGGTCTTGATTGAGCTTTGCATCTGGATGTAAATCTCTAATGAGCAGATGGGTCCTTGCCCATCTAAACCACCCCCTCTGGGCTTCTGACTCACCAGGATGTAATTAAAATGAGTTTGGTTGTTCTCACTGCCCAGGTCAATATACACAGCTCGGATAGCTATGCGGTGCTGAGGAGCCACGTTAATGAAGGTCCGACACACTCCTTCATGCCTTTGACCAGGTGACTGCACAGGATTCACTATTTCACCTCGGGGACCAAACAGCTGCTTGTCACAGTCTGAGAGGGGGGAAGGGGAGCAGAAGAGAAAATGATTTAGAGATGTGTCTGGTATCTCCAAGAAAAAAAATGGTTTAAATTAAATACAGACAGAAAAGTTTCTCTGAGGATTTTCATCTGGGAACCTCCAAGCATAAGCAAACACCTGCAGGGGGCTTGCCTTTAAAACAGAGGGGCAGTCCACAAATAATATCCATTCTGACACTCCTTGAAAAGGGGCTTATTAGCTCTTGGAGATGGAGCAAGGTTTCCATAGATTCCCATAGACAGCCACGACCTGTGGAACTCTGCAGGCCTTGCCATGAGTCCCCTAACATAAAGCAATAGTGAAGCTTTCAGTGAAGTACCTTGGTAATATTTTTTAGTTGTATTTCTGCTGTTGTACTGAAGAACAACACCATTTCCTGGCAGCAAAACACGCTGTTTCACAATCAATGTATTTGTTCTGGAATTTATCAGTGACAAAGGGAGCTTCTTGCAGCCTGTCTGCCACATCATTCGCCCAGAAAACAACACGACTTCACCTGGAATGAATGAGCACAGGGACTAGAAACACTTTTACTTCATGTGAGATAGGTCTGAATGCAGTTCAGCTTCCTATATTACATAGGTCAGAAAGCGAGTAATTTCTGCTTCTTGCCCCTATCTTATTGAAATCTTTCCTGAAACAGTCCAGTTAACTAATCTAACCATACTGATTCCAACAAGAGGGTACATTACATAGTTTTTAACAGGCCAAAGTAGGAAGCTTCTTTAACCCAATAGGTTCCTTTAATCCCATATCTATTAAAAAAAAAAAAAAAAAAGAGAGAGAGAGAGAAATCATTGTGTAGGGAGAGGAAAGGCATCATATTAGTTGAGTCCCATCTAGCAAAGAGTTAGTGGAACAGGAAAACTTATAAAATGGTTTCAGAGATTACACAGGCTCCAAGGCAGCAAAAATCATTCAGGACACCAAAGCATGCAGGCAAACAGTGTACAGATTTCCCAAAGGGCCAGGCTAGTTCCCAGTTAGCCCTGGGCAGTACCTGCACTGCAGTTGAGGGAGCTCTCCAGAACAATGAGTGTTATCTCCTCCCCTAGAGGACGTCCAATGGCCACGGTGCAGTCACTTCTCTCTACACCTGTCATGTTGATGACCCCAGTGGCATTAAGAAAGAGCTTTCCACAAACACCTGTGGAACAGAGACAGATAAGAAACACATCCAGCTGCTGCTAACAGCACTCAGTCCTTTCACAGCACAGTAAACAGACAAGCACCAACAGTGTGCTCACCTTCTGGGTAAAGCACAGGAAGAGTCAGTTGCTGCCCCAAAGAGTCTCAATTCAGAGGAGGTTTGGGAAGTCGAGGGAAGGAAGTAATTGTTCCTGGCTCAGACAGCATGGACAGCTCATGGCATACTGTCCCTAAGCCATTCCCTCCCATGCTCCTGTCTGTGTACAGGAACAGCCACACACAGTAGCTATCTCTACCTTTTGGTTACGCCCTCCTCACCTCCACTGGTCTCTGTCTGCTCCTGAGGGACAGCTGGCACAGCAGAAGGAGGAAGATCCAGGTCCTTATATCTTGCCCTTTCAACAGTTGCAGCTGTCGTAGGATGCATGGCTGGTGTCACTGTCTGCAGTTCTGCTCCATGGGACCCAGTCCCCACCACCTGCTCAGGACAGGGCCCTGCAAAGCAGCCACGTAGCACGATGGCCTTGGGGAAGTGCCTGCAGAAGATGGGGTTCACGTGCTTATGGGTTAGCGAGTTGAGGCAGAAATCCTGCCGTGTCTGAACACCATTCCCACATGAAGTTGAACACTGCAGAGGAAGAAACCCACAGGCCATTACACACACATTTCAATTGGTATTCAGAAATAAATACATTTATTTGCTCAGGCACAATCTAAGGCTCTGATCTGTTCACTGATTCTGCCACATGGCCTTTTAGTTCTCTAGTT